TACCCGGTAACTAATGCGTTCTGCAAACACTGGCGAGAAATGGCTAGATAGAACGCGGCTGCTTTCTTCCTCTAAATTAGCGACGGACTAGCAAAGGTCTGCGGGATCGTAGCCCCCGCGCGTATACCGGTTGATTTGCTACAAAGGGGATGAGATAGACGGAAGCGAAGGGGGACCGAACCACTAAACTCGCGTCTAGTAAATAGAATCTAATCAACTCCAGTTGCGGCCGATCGGTCAGATTTCCAGTCAAAGTAGCCTCCATCGACGTCGCGGAACGTCTCTCTCTCTCTCGGAGACAACGAGATCGTTCCGGATGGCGTTAGGAACGTCACGTCGATGAAATACGCGTGTAACCGACGGTGACGGAACGTGGCGTTGAAGAGGGAAAAAAAAAGGTAATATCTCGACAAGAATGTGCACGCAGCCTGCGTCGAGGAAGCAACAACGCGGAGGACGAAGAGATTACTCCGGCCTGAACGAAGTCGGCAAGGCATAATTAAGTAGCGCGACAGGGAGGGTGCCGGAACGGTGTAGCTACGAGCGCTCTTTTTTTTTCCGGAGGCACTAGGGCGAACGGTTTTTTCCTTTAATGTTAAAAAAGTTACGCTGATATGTGTGCGTGCGCCGACGGTAGGAGAAAGCAATTTGTTTCGCTAATCTTTCTCGACGACAGACGTAATTGAAACCCCGACGCAATTATGAATCGCGGGACGAGGGGACGAGCCTTACGCGCGCCCGCAGCCCCGCTTCTTTTATTTTTAATACGTTCGGCGTGCGTAAGGTAATTGATAAACGATCAGTCTAAGTCTGTCCGCAATCGGTAATCGTATCAGTTTTCGATGAAGTCACAGTTCGCAGTTGGCGTTCGGTGATTCCAACGGAAAATTTGGGGTTTCTAGAGAAATGACGAGCCATAAAGCGTATCGTCGACGATTACGTATCGTTATTATCGATTGTAATAATGCACGCTTGGAAAGTGTATGAACAGCAAAGGCCGTAAATTTGAAAGGTAGTAAATTTCTAGAAAAGGACAAGATTCATTAAGTGAAAACCGATGGCGAAACGAGCTTAGCCATTACGAGGCGCGCGACGGAAGCGTCGCGGGCGGGCGGGCGGAGAGCGAGCCACCTCGAAATATTTCACAGGGACTTATCTCGCGGGAGTTCTCGCTATCGGCCAACTTTTTAACTCTATTTATTTCGCGCGGCGGTGCGAAGATTCATTCGGTTGTTATTATTTATCACCGCCCTGCCGCGCGGCGCGGCGGCAGCCGGGAGTCTTTCCAACCGAGAGGGTGGTGAGCAATAATCGCCAACAATAAACGCGAATCGCACTTGATTATTATGATTGTCCGACTCCTTTCTGTAGCACCCTCAAATAACTTCGTTTCTCGTTAGTAGCCAGGCTCCCCTTATGCCGTGGCGAGCGGAGGGAGAATTTGGCACGAGAGGCGAAGACGGGAGTAGGCGAAGCCGGAGGGAGGGTCGTCGGGGAAAGACGGCAGGAGGATAAGATAGGGACGCAAGGAGGGAGAGCGGGCGCGTTTCCGTTTGCGAGACCGTAAGGTCGGGAGGGTGAATGACAGCGGTGCAATTTGAAAAATTACGGGAGCCGCATACGCTTACGTATACGTTAACCCCTCGGATACCCCCGATATCTCCCGTGTGCCCCGTGGCCAAATATCCCGCGCTTGCCCTTTTGATCCGCGACAGTGTCGGGATACCTCTGTGCTTTCTACTTGCAAACGCAATTCATGTATTCGTTAAACGGGAAGGATTCTCTTAGAATAACGTGACAATAAACGCTTCTGTCTCTCCTTTATCTCAGGTTTGTATTAATCGCATGTCGTACTCTCTGAAAGCCAGCCAGTGAGTCATCACTGAAAACAATGAATAGTCACTGATTTGCAGTTATAAATATACTACTGAAAATCGCAGTGGCGTACTTATAACTGTAAATCAGTGACTACTCACTGTTTTCAGTGATAATCCACTGATTGACTTTTGGAGAGTAGGAAGACTCCGCATACTTTGGGACAATGTAACAAAACGATGAGATTATTTCGCGTCGGGTTTCTCAAGATAAAAGATGAATTATTTATATCTTTCGCGTCGAGAACTGAAACATCTCCCTTATTCAATTAGATTCGAGTATATGGAATACAAGAAAGGACCTGATTTTGGAAATGTTGATTCGAAAAACCCCGCGCTCGACGTAACTGGAGGGTTAAATGATAATCGACGCGAACGATACCCGCTCGCCGGTTCGTTTTATACGTCGCGATATTATCTCTCCCCGTTTCTACTGGTAATCAGTAACCGCTGCTAACTGGCGCAACACGCGTAACCGCTTAGAGGACACGTGCATCCTCGCGCGCAAGTCGGGCGCCCGGTCCTCGCTCTTGGAGGATCGGTCGCGATCGTAATCTTTCTGTCTCAGGTACGCGCGTTTGCTACGTGTTGGTCGGAAATCCTCGATTACACGGAGGCGGCGGCGGCGGGCCAGTTTATTACGAACACGTGGGAGGACTTGGCGCGCACGTAACACCGTAGGTAATACGTGTACACCCGAAGCGGAGGCGGTCGGCGGTAACACCATAAGATAGGGTCTCATTATTGTCGGTACAGTGTTCCTAAATTGCCGCCCCGAGCCGTGGTAGACGACCCGGGAGCGAAGCGCCGGGTCTCGCACGACTAACTAACGGTGGACCAATTAACTTTCAATTAGAGAATGGAGATAACTCTTATCGCGTCCGCGGGCCCGCGGGAGAGCGGCGGCTTTTAATGGGGCCCTTCTTTACCCGACGGCCGACGTTTATGCGTCCGCGCTGATACATTGTCCCGGAAAGGGTTAGATACGGATCGTTATGTACGTAAAAGCGATATTATCCGATTGAAGGAACGGGCGATTAACCGGCGAGTTAATGCGGCTCCCAGCCCGCACTTGGCGCGAGTTTGCGCGAAACTCATCCCCGCGGTCGTCCCGATAACGCTCGCGGGCGCTTATCGTCTACATCCGCGCAATTATCGCCGGTTCGACAGAGTGGGTACACGGGCGCGCGGAACGGCGCCGGTTTCTCAATTGATGCACGCCGTTCTTCTGCCACAGAGAAAGCGATTAATCAAGGGGATTAGCGCGTGACGTACCTTAGACAATCGCGACGAGCGTTACGTTCGTTCGGATAAGCGAGCCATCGAGGAGGCAACGGGCGCGGGACATCCATATGTATGATTATGAGAACGGAGTTATCACCGAGGCTCCCGGCTAGGAACACAGCCCGCAGCCAAGTTCATATTTGTGCATTACGCTCACGTGCAACGATACAATAAGGAATCCTTCGTATCGGGGATGCATGCTAAGTACACGCAGCAAGCTCGTCGTATCTAGCAATGCCGATGCGTCGTCGTTCTCCCCCGTACCTAGGCTTCGATCCGTCTCTCCTACCTGCCGGATTCTCGTCGCCCGAGCCTAGAAATAAGCGAGGGACCCTAGGAACGAGCGATTTCTGAATGCGAATAGCCTAAACGATACGAAGTTTCCGAACGCGATTTGCGATCAACTAGGGACACCCGCGCACATATTTTTTCTTCGCGGGAAAAATGTTGGTACTTGTAACCAGAAAATTAAGGAGGAGAAGTGGGATAAAGTTCCGAAAACTGTCCACGTCTTGTTTAGATATTCTTTGATAAAAATATTTTGAATGACTTCTTCTTTCTAAAGGTATAAAACGAAAATGGTCGATCTCCACCTGTCAAAATTGTCCATGTGTCAAAAACGAGCCGAAGAACATTGGGTCTGTTTTTTATTACTGCACTCCTGAGTGCTACTAGTGCACACTGGTGCAATGAGTTGGAATGAGAGGTAATCTATTTGTTTCATTTTAACTTATTGCACTAGTTCAGTAGTGCAGTAATAAAGAACAGTCCTATTATACACCTTTAGTCTCTGTCTCGCTCGCTTATTCTGGCCTCACCATTTGAATAGAGCGCATGGTGGGTCCATTTACACTACGTCCATGGAATCAATGCATTTCCAAGTCTTTTTGAAAATGCACTCGATCGAATCGCTCCAAATTTCTTTCGTTGCAAGGTTCAGACGACCGGGAATTATGAGAGGAACGGAAAGTGGTGGATTTAATTGACAACTCCTTCTCGGCGGTTCGAATCACAAGATATAGTCATTAATGATATTTCTTTGCGCGTATCGCGAAACATTACAAAGTCGCGTACGCGCATATGACGAGTTCGTAGACATCGCGGACATCCGTTAGGAGATGTGAAAGTCCCGGCTTCCATATGCACGAGGCGAATATTGAAAGGCCTGCTCGACACCTCGCGGCGCCGACATCATGGCGAATAATGCTCGCCGCAAACGTTGTCTCTTAGTGTATGGAAATTCTCCAGGTTTTATTCTCGATAACGCATCCACATGGTAATTTAACGACTAGAATTCACCGAGTGGCACACAGTTTCGCCTGGATTAATGATTTAAGTATAGTACGATATATCAACGGTAGTCTTCAATGGGAAAAATATAGAAACGAAAATTACGCAAAAAAAAAGAAGAATCTTGCCGGAACGGTACGCGGCATCCTCGATGAAGAGGAACGAGGTTGCATCGTATCGCGTCGCATCGCGTAACGCGGGAGAGAGGGGGGGAGGGGGGAGAGGGACGAGAGGGGGGGGGAAGAAGGAAAGAGAAAGAGATGGAGCAATGTCAGGTCGAGGAGTGGAACATCGCGGCGAGAGCGTCGAAGACGAGGACGACGAAGACGACGACGAGGACGACGTCGACGAAATAAGGCAGGGTGAGTGGGCGGACGCGCGTCGCGCCGGAAAGCAGCATCGTTCGTCGAGCAGGGCGTTTCGTGGGCGGGATAACTCCGCCCGTTATTCGGCGCACGCTCCCGTTATTCACGTACTCTCCCGACTCCTTCGTCCTCCGCGCTCTCTCGGTGCTCTCGGCCCGCGACGTCTCGCTCGTCGTGGACGGTACAGTCCCGTCTAGCCGCTCGCTCGATCACAAAGCTGAACAACGGCGGTACACGGGCCGTTTCGCGTAGCTCCACCGCGCCGCTCGTCCACCCTTCACCGCGCGTTCCCCGGGATTCGATCGGGGGTGCGATCGGCCGACGTCGGGGAACGCACCGCGACTACGTGAATGACCGCTCTCCGGACGGTACCGAGTGCCAGTTCGCGTGACAGTTTGTGTACCGTCAACAGCACGGGGGTGGTGAACAGTGGTGGTCGCGGGAGACCATCGGACAGACCGTCAGATAAGTGAAGATAAGTGAGCGAAGCGACACTGAAGAAATGTTGCCGTATCAGGTGGCCATGGATTACGGGGGCTTTCAGCGACAAAGCCCGGTCGGGGTCGGTGTCGGTGTCGGTGTCGGCGGACCCCATCAGGGGGCCGCTGGGGCGATCAACCTCAACCCCGCGTTCACGCACTCCTGGTTCGTACCGGCGGACCTCTGTGTCCCGTACAAACAGAGTCAGGGTCCTCTCCTCGAGCCAGGGCATGTTGTTTCTCTTATACTTATTTCTCTAATTACGTATTATGCATAATAGTTATCATAAACGTCACTAATCTTGGACGGCGATCGACCCGCGATCCTTACGATCCGACACGAGCACCTTCGCGTATTGGATCTGACCGTTCGATAGACCGTTAGATCTAAAGATCGACCACTTGGGTCGATTCAATTTGTCAATAATTTGTCAACAATTGCCGGGAAATTCGTCTCTATTTTTACAATTGCGAAGCGATGCCTGTTAACAAACAGCAGCGTAACTCGAAGTGCTTTACGCGCCGGGCGCTTTGACTTCTACAGTCATCCTTAAAAAGACGCGTGCGATCTCGAGACTCGCAGCCGCTTAAATCCCGATATATATCATGTATTATTTATGTCACTTAACGTAACCACGTCCCGCGTGTTCGACAAATTACGCAGGTACGTCTGACGAGGAGCGGTTGACACCGAGAATTTCCGCGGCCCTTCGGAAATCGGATGAAAGGGCCGCCCGTAGTACAGGGTACGGTCCCAAGAGAGCTCTGTCACAGTGAGTGGATAATGGGAATGGTGATGGGTGGCGGTAGGTATAAGGCGCAAGGGTGGTAAACCAATGGGGCAGACGAGTACGTCACGCCGCGGCCGTAAACCCGATGTGATATCGGAGGAACGCTGATGCTGACGGGGCAACCGGGGGAGCCGTCAACGTTACCTTTCGCCCTTATCTTCCTTCCAATATATACCTCTATTTTGATTTTCCGACGTCGCCGGTAACGAACTGGTCGCGCCAGTGCAATTTCGACTAGTCTTAATCGCCGTCACTACCGTTGACCATCGTGGGGGCTGAGGAAAGTCTGCGTAACTTATTTTCTTACGCTCAGTAGGCCGAGTCGTTATTACGCGCTCGTATCCCGCGACTCTTAGCACCGTAGTTTAGCCGACAAAATTAGTAGAGCAAAATTCACGAAACTCGTACGTCAATTCGATCATTTTATTTTATTTTGTTTTTTTACGGAAGAAAACTGCGCGATCTTAAAGGATATAAACGACTCGCTTCGTTTTAATCAACGCTCTAATACGAATCTATTCTAGAGATTATAATATAGCGAAGCTGATGGTCACGAAACAATTAACTTTAACTCCTTGAGATCAGTGACCGCATCATTATATCGGACTTTGGCGACCGTGTCGCGCCAACAAATGCGTCCCGCCGCGCGGCCCCGGGCTCACGTTCCCGGAAGTTAAGACACCGGCGCATCCGGATGCGAGCCACGGACGTGAGGCCTTTCGAAACCCCTTGCTTTCTCTGCCAGCCGACCAAACGTCGGCTACTTAACTTTTCAGTGGGTGTCCAAGTCTCAGCCAATCCGGTTCCTCCGTAGAGTCGCATTATTTTCAAATTTCGGCTAATCAATATTTATCACGTGCAGCCTCTATAATTTTATCTTTTACAATTTTTCTATAATTTTTTTTAACGACGTCGTCAGAAATGCTTGAATTTTCGACAAAATTACGATAAAACTATTACCGAAACATTTCGTTCGTAAACCCGCATTTAATTTTTATTTTCTTCTTTCGTCGCGACTTTTCACTTCCCCAAAGCGACGTCCAAAGATTATTCTTTCCGCGATGGTGATCCCAATCGTACTTAACGGTCAGCTTCACTCGAACATTAAGAAACTGCATTCGCGTCGGAAAGACAAAAGGCACGACAAAGCGCTTCGCGCCGTAAACTGTATTTGATACCGGGGGAGAGTTTGGGGTCGCGTCCAAAATGTAAAGGAAAGAAGAAACAGCTCTTACAAGTGCATTTACCGAAAGTTCTCAGGCTCGACCTCCGCTCCTCCGCATCGGGAAGCTCATCACGTAGACTTTAAGCCCTCCCTTATCTGCGCGTCATCAGGAGCCAACTTCCCTCCGACTCTATCTACCCGCGCTCTCGCCCTCTCGCTGTCGCGCGCACACACCGCCTCTCGACCCTCTTTCTCTACTCTTCCTATTTTTTTCTCTCTCTCTCTCTCTCTTCCTTTTTTCCGTTTTATTGTAGGTGTGTAGCGCATGCATGCATGCGTACGGCGTGATTTACGTCCGCGGATGCAGCGGGATGCTTTACTGCTCCCGGCGTTATTCTTTCTCCGCTTTCTTTTTTCCTCGTTTCATCCGCTTCCATTCAGATTCCGCTCTGTTCCGTGGAAAGCGTTTCCTTGCTTGCGTCATTATCCACCGTGTCACGATGAATATTAAAGTACAGAGCGTACCCTGTTTCGACTTGCGACGATAGATCGTTTTCGTCGTCGTAAAGGAATCGTATCGATAGATGGGCGCCAACACTTCAGGGCAATCGGGGGGAAAATCATTTTTGAGCGCAGCTTTCCCTTTCCACGTCGTGTTCGACGGCAAGACGCGTCCCAGGCTCATCCTAAGCGTAATTGCGTAACGCCGCGAATTTACACGCGTCGCATTATCCCCTTCACGCACGCTTATAAAACCCGACATGATTCGAGCGTTGCATCATGAATGAAATCGCAGACCGTACTTTGGTCCACTAGAAGCGAGGGATGTACCGTGAATTATTCATGACATCGAATAAGAACGTAAACGACAAAAGACAAGCGCTCTCGATACTTTTTTTTTATAGCGACTTTGCGAAAGGGTTTGCCAACTCGCCGACGTCTTATCGTCTCTCCGGCGACTAACTGCGTCGGACGAATTTCAGAATTCTGGGATTGGCGTCGCTCGGGAAACCTACCGTAGAAATTCTCGTCCAAATCGTCGCAGACCGTAGCGATTTACGATTCCCCGTGCGAATCTAATCGCGGCGCGGTGCCGTAAAACTTATTCTTCGCTCCTCGTTATCGGACGGTCGGCGGAAATGACATTTTTCGCCGTAACGCTACAAAAGCCCGGGCATTCGATAGCTGGCCGGTTTCCCACCCCCCGGTTCCAGGGACCGCGAAAGAAAATTATGTCGAAACTGGAGCCGTAACATTAGGAGCATTGTATTGTTGCGCGAGGCTACGACTCTCCGGGGAGTAGGTTGGAAGGTCCGTTCATCCTTTTCCGACTCACGTTCCTCTTCGACGAGGAACGTGCGCGCGCGCCCACACACACAGACGCACGTACCCACGGACGCGAAAATACAGATGGAACCGGGACATACCCTCAGGTGGTGCTTCGGACCGGCAAATGAATCGTTTAATTGAATTAGTCGATGAGTCCGCGCTACGACGCGCATTATAATTTCTACAGTTGCCGATACCGTTCCCGCTTCCTGCCTTGGCGCCGAGAGGAGTCATATCGAAGAGCTGGGAGACAATCGGCATTGGGGTTGCGAAAGGGTTGCGAAGATTCCCGTTACGATTACGTACCCCGCGATTCCCATGCTGCTCGCTCGGGCAAAGCGATGATCCCCTCGCAAAACAGACATCTCTAAAAGTATTTGTCGAAGAAAGAAAAAAATTTTATCATAAGGAGTTGTAAAATAATTATGATGAGACAAACTCCAAAGAATCCTGCAAATAGCGCAGAAAGCTGCACGAAAGGGCTGCGAGGATTCCCGTTACGATTACATACCGCGCGATTCCCATGCTGCTCGCTCGGGCAAAGCAATGATCCCCTCACATAACAGACGTCTTTAATATTTGTCGAAGAAAGAAAAAATTTTATCATAAGGGGTTGTAAAATAATTATGATGAGAAAAATCCAAAAGAATCCTGCAAATAGTACAGAAGGCTACACGGAGTGACCGATATGGTTACCCATGTCTAATTAGGGTTGGCACAACCCCAATAAATAGTAATATCTGGGACAGCTATATATGTGATTGTTATACCCACATTGGTATGATAAGTAGCGGAGACAACTATATGCGTTTTGTGCAACAAACTTAGTGAATGTTGCAACGCAAAACAATGTAGATGCCTACTATTCGTACGGCAACATTTTAATTTTAGTTGTTTTTGCCCTAGCCGGCCTTTTCGTGTACGAAACGATGGACGAATCTCGCAGAAACGGCTCTTACATTTTTAACACAACTTTCTTTAGAAAAATCACCGTCATTCTTTAGAATAGCACGCTGAGAAAAAATTAATCAGGGTTTGCTAAAAATATTTTGCTGCCATAACTAAATTTCTAAACCACAACACACACGGTTCGCTATCAGCACCTAATACGATAGGCACAGTAGCAAAATATTTAGCTATCACAACGAAATATTAGCTGTCGATATTTGACAACTGAAAAGTTGCCACGCGCAGTTTTTAGCTACGGCAGCTACATTTTGCTCTCCGTACAGGGATCGCTGCTGAACATTTGAGAAAATTGCATTTTAATATCCGTATGTGGCGAGTGTGGCGCAAAGAGATGTGCGCTGTTTAGTAAACAAATGAACGAAAAGATCCGAGTTCAAATCCACGGACACCGCTGGTTTTTTTCAGAATCTCCCGAAGGGAAGTGGCAACCACCGAGAGTATCTTGCCACCCCCTTCAGGGGTATAGCAATTCCAGATCGAAGGTTTTCTTCGGCGAGGTTAGCAACCTACCGAAGACGAAGAAAAACCAAATGCTCAAAGTACCAGAACGAGAACTGGATGAAACAGGCTTTACGCCTAATACACGAGGCAGAAGAAGAAGCATTTAAATCAGACTAACGCATACAAAATGCCACGCTTCTAGATATAAAAGATGTTTTCCGGGAGATAAAAGTCCCTCCGTGCGTCGAATATCCGGGTAGGCTTTCGTATCCCGAATTCTAGTGTGGTAAAACAATGTTGTCCACTTGATAGTTTGTCCGATTATTTCCACGCAACTACCGTTTTTCGTATCTACCGCGCGGTGACGATTCGACGATCCGGGCCGCGCTCGAAGCCGAGAAACGAGGTAACAGAGGGTGGCGAGCATCCGAGGGCGGGAGCTCGTCATAGCTCGCTGCTGAATTATTGATGGGCAGCACTTAGAAAGGCGAGAGGATGTCGAGCACGGTGGCGGAGAAGGCGCTTCCACGGCAATCCACGGTGGTGGCCTTCTCGAGGATCGCCAAGGATATACCGGCATGCGATGGTTGCGCGAGGGACCGCTATCTCCGGTCCCAGGGGACTCTCGGGTCTCGCGAGCCCTCGTCCTACCGCCCTCGCCGCCCAATTCCGACCAATTTGACCGAAAGTTGGACGTAATTTTATTTTCACACGTCTGCAGACGCCGTTCGCCGCGGCGCGGCGAAGCGGCGGTGACCCGGCCGAACGAGGGCGGCTGGCTCGGTGTGCTTAGGCCTCAGCTTCTCTCCGGCTAAGTTCCGTTCCTCCTGGGGAATGGACTCGACACGGTCAAAGGAAACGAAGGAAACTGCGTCTCTCATCCCTCGTATTCTTTATCCCCGCCAATCGGCGTCGGGACCGTCGGCTTTTAATCGCCTCAATTTGCTCCGCGCACACGTGACGGGGAAACGTTCGCTACACGTGAACGTGTGACGCGTGAGGAAAGACGCGAGATCCACAACTTGCATTACTTTGAAATCGATAGAAGCGCGTTATTGTATTATTTCGTTTGAGTAGCCGACAGGAATCGCGATATCAAGCGCCGGCGGGAGAAGTTTAGCGCACGCTCCACTGCAAAATACTCTATCATTTGGCGAACAGCCGCGGAAGGGAGGAATCTGTCATTATCCCTTTGGGACGAAAGCGAAAGCCTGGCCGTGAACGAAACTTCACCGGGGGTCGGAAGGATCGAGTGTCGCGGAATGCCTGTAAAATGCCAAAACAAGATTCTGGCACAGTGATGGCCTATGTATATCGGAGAAATGTCTCTCCTTTTCTCTCTCCCCCCATTCTTTCGCTTTTTACGACTTCCGATCCCTGCTCGGGTGGCAGCGAGAATGGTCATAATGGGTTACCGTCGTGTTGGCGCATTTCTCGTGCGAGGGAGAGACAAAACCCGGGGTGGATGGGGAAAGCGCCATCGTTTTACAGTCGTTAAGCGCAATAGCGAACGAATAAAAATCCCATCGCGCTTCGTATCATTTCGACTTGGAACCACCGGCGCGGCGCTTCCACCAAGCTGGTCCCCGGCCTGCGAACGACGGGAGTTAGTTAATGGGCGAAACTCTTTAACCAATCCGATGCCTTCCTGGGGACAAATCTCGCAGAGTTACGCGAGGGTTTCTCCGATTTACGCGTACTCTTCGATACACCGGGGGTGCTTCCCGCGGGGGAAAAGTTACTCGCCTTACCGTTCCAGATGGAAAACAGCTGGACGGTTAACGCATTAAAAATTGGCATTTGATGGTACACGACGTTGTTTGAATCTCAACGATTCGTGTCGCGCCAGAACGGCTCCGTTGGGCAAGTATTTCGTCGCGATTTAACAAAATGTTCGCGTACGCTCGCGACATCCTGGAAAGTAGCGCTCGACGTGGTCCACCCGCGCCGGTTCTCCGATTCGCCGTCGTCGAAGGTTAACGACCAAGCGGTACCAAGAAACAGCACGTAGATTACGCGCGACACCGTCGTCGTCGCCGTCGCCGTCGCCATTTCCAATTGGCCGGCGTTTACAGTTTAAATGTAAAACCGAGTATCCGAGGGGCCGTCCGTTGGGCGTGGTTACGTTACGCCGATGTTCACTCGCGGATACGTTCGCCGGCTTGTCAGTAAACACGGGCTTCATAGCGCTTGAATAATGTATGCCGCTTAAGCGGCGGCCGCACCGCGACACAGCATCGCCACGCCTCTCCGCCTGTATATCTATTTGCGCGACCGCGTAATTTCAGCTTCTGCCGCGTGTACTTGCGCGAAATAACAGCAGCCCCCGCCTCTGTTATATGTCGCGAGTGCCATTAGAAGACGGGCACTCGGAACGGCAAGTACGGACCTGAATCCACGAGCCGATCGCCGTCTTTCTCTATGGCTAAAACTTGTCAACGAAATCGATAGGCTTTTACGATCGTCTCGCTAGAGCGTTGATCGAACCGCTGGTCTTTTTAAACAATTTAAGCAAATCGAGTCCGCCCCTACGCGAACGATAACATGGGCACTTTTCTGCAATTCCAGTTGGTTAACCCTGCGGACGTTACACGATAGTGGATGTGGACACCTATTTTTTTGACGTGAAGAAAGGGGAAATAAATATAATTGCTCTCCACTCCATATACGCACTTGCTGCATTTCCTTGTATCTTTCAGCATCACGCACAGAAAACAATGTTTTTTGTTTTTCTACAATAGTTGCTCAAAGTTATGAAACAAGTCCCAGAGACGTCACACGGCAGACGGAATTATTCGAGATCTTTTTTTCTCTGGGGACTGTTCTCTGTACATGCGAATCGCGATTCACGATAGCGTCTACTGCAATCCGAAGAGGCGCGCTGCTTCGCCGCTGTAATCGTGCGCGTGTTTGCATTACAGCATCTTGGAGTTGCGCAAGGAGAAGAGCCGGGACGCGGCGAGGTCGCGGCGGGGTAAAGAGAACTTTGAGTTCTACGAGCTCGCAAAAATGCTACCACTCCCAGCAGCCATCACCTCCCAGCTAGACAAGGCCTCCATAATAAGGCTAACGATCTCGTACCTCAAACTACGCGACTTCTCCAGTCACGGCGATCCGCCGTGGTCCCGCGAAGGTCCACCGCCCAGCAAATCCGTCAAAGGTAAGACAATGCGTTACGTTTCATCGGTAACTCGCACGAGGAAAAAAGATTCGCTGGCACAGCACTTTTTGCGCTCTTACAGCGATTGTCATTGGCTGTTGTACACGGGGAGAATCTTCTCTTCAAATTTATCCTGAAAATCATGTAATTGCGGGACAATACGACATTTCAAAGAAGTTTATGAGAGTTTTTCCGAAATGTTACCATACATATTTACTAGTAAAATTTTAAAAAACTTTCATATAGTTCTTCAAAATGCCACGTTGTCCCACGATTACACGATTTTCAGGGTAAATTTTAAAAGAAGATTCTCCATGTATACAGAGTGTTATGTAATATCCGCCTCACCTCTTGTTTACGGATAGAGCGGACCAGACTAATTGTAAGTCGAAAAGTCCTCTACCATTTTGCAATTTTCGCAATAGTTAACGAGTTATTAATTATTAAAAATCGCTGTCTTAACCCAGCCTACCGCCCAATTCAAGCTCAAAGGTAAGACATTGGCCGCGTTCAGCAGACACAACTGTTGAGTGAGCGCTCAGTATGATTGGTTAATACTTTTAGATCCAGCCAATCATATTAAGAAATCGTTGAGCGCTCACTCAACAGTTGTGCCTGCTGAACGTGGCTAATGAGTGCGTTCCGGTAAGACACTACTGCCGTAGCGCCACAGCTTTTCTGCTACAATTGTAGCGGCGCCATACTTACAGTAGCGTGCATAACCTCAAAATTGTATTTTAATCGTAAGAGTCGCGTTTACCAATTAATTGAAACGAATAGAATGGAAAGTATTGAAGATTGGCTCATGAATGACATATTGTTCCTAGCAAACCTTGAGCAATTACGGAAAATGGCAACCGCTACAGTTGTAGCGGACAGTTTTGCCGAAACGCACTCGTGTAGCGCTACCGTAGCGCTATAGTAGCAGCATAGTATAACTAGTATGCCCCCATCCCTTTGATCTTTTCGGTTTCGATCACGTGGTATTCCGCCATTACTTTGATGTGTGAAATCCTTTCACACTGTCACACTACCACATATACCAACATCCGTCTCATTAACTACACCAAAATAATGGCGGATGCGCAGAATGATCGGCGCAAAACGAAACAAATGACAGAGTGGCCATACTAGTTATACTACTATGGTAGCAGTGTCTTGCCGGAACGCACTCAATGTGTCACGTTCATCGGTAACTTACACGAGGAAAAAAGATTCGTTGGCACAGCACATTTTGCGCTCTTACAGCGATTGTCATTGGCCGGTGAGATGCGGCCGTCCCGCGATTGGCGTTGCTAGGCGCGCGGTGAATTGTTTATGACACACGACAAGAGCTACATATAATAAACAACTCCCCGTGCGTCTAGCAACGCCGATCGCGAGACAGCCGCATCTCGCAGATGGGTGGTAGGCCGGGCTAAAATAGCAATTTTTAGTAACTAATAACTCATTAACTATTGCAAAAATTGCAAAATGGTACAGGACTTTTCGACTCAGTCTAGTCCGCTCTATTCGTAAATAAGAGGTGAAGTGGGTATTACATAACACCCTGTAGATAGCGGAGATTCCTTGAGAATACTGGCTATTGTAGAACTCTTCTAGAACTATTCTGTAGTTAGCGTAGCTGATATGACTTTTTTCGCGACTCGAGGTACCACGAGATGCATATTTTTATGTGTTACTTTTGCTATCTAAGTCAACAGAACTATTTCTAAAATCTATCTGAAACATACAACTATTGCGGGTGCAAATGGAATCGTTAAAATTGTCGATTTTTGAAAATAAGGTGCCAATTTCGCAGTGGCGTATTATAATTCGTATGTCAATATAAGTAGATTCCATCGGTTCTTATTTCCATCAGATGTTAAGGTGATACGTTGTATTGCAATATCGAGCGGACATTTTGTTTTAATTTATCGCGATAAATGTAATCTCTCGCTGTCCGGGCAACCAACTCGACAAAGATATATCTGCCGATGATGTCTCTTGATGGATCAGCATTTAACTTCGGGAAGGGGGAGTCATCCAGACTGTTAATAGGGATCGGGACCCGTATATTCCGTACGCCTAACTTCCTCTCTGGGGATAAGAATAAGAGAGGAAGTCAGCCGCGTTATAATTCCTTTACGCTCGCGTCGTCTGCAGTAGAGTAAACTGACGTTGCGGCGGACACGTGCGGAATGTATCGTCGCGGTATTTCGTCGTATGTGTGACATGTATTATATTTCATACTTTTCAATATATGTTCTATACTAAAAACTTGATATTCAACAGTTAAGTATGTAAATATATAAATCGATTTTAGATTAATTTGAAACAAGATCAGAAATGGAAAGAAAGAAAATAAGCATCGCAAATATGTAGATAACATGTACTTAATATTATTCATTACGTGCGCCTCATACTAGGAACTCTCGAAAGTTTTGGAGTGAAATATTTTCTCCGTGGTTCTATTTTCACTCCAAAAACTTTAGAGAGAACTTGATATTTAGCAGATAGACAAATGTAGTCCATTAAGTGTTCGTAATTTAATTCGAAATAAAAAATAAAAGTATGAATGAGAAAAGTATTCAAGAGCATGCGGTAATCGCGTTAAAGCCAGCAGTAGATATTCGGCCTGTCTCCGATTGCCAATGATGTCTTCTCCCTAGACACGTGTCTTCTATTATCAGACAGAACCGACATCATGTCGCGACGTAATGTCGTAATTCGATTTACAAAAATATGCTCTGGGTAATAACTTGTACGTCTTTTATATATAGTGCAATCGCTTTGTATATAGTAGCTTGACGAAACGTTTTTCATGTACGGTCATGGTCAAAAGGTTTGCTCGACGTTTTACAATAAGTTTTCGAAATATTCGTATGTACCATTGCAAACATATTCGTACATGTCCGTGAACAATAGCTATAATCTCTCGCATGATAGACTGTACTGCCGAAATTTATCATGAAACGTCGGGCAACCTTTCTGACCACGATTGTACATAATATAACACGAAACACAAAAATGACCAGGACACCCTGGGGTGTATCTGACAAAGATTGTGGACAGTAGCCTCCTTAAGGAAACACGTAAACTTGGCAATAGATCGAGCTTCCAGATACCCTTTACAATTCCGGTGACCATGCAGCCTGCGAAAGAGAGAGATTTCTAGATACATAGTAATAGAGAATTGTCGGCAATCATCGAGCGATAAGATCGCCGCGGGCCTCCTTCATTTTCGTGCTTCATTTAGCGAAAAGGGAGCAGCTACCAGCTTATTTTAGTATATTTTTGCTCTCACGTTTTTTTCATTCAAGTTAGTTGGAGCGTACTATTACTGTTTCACTGTCGAGACTTTATACCCCTCGTTACATCGACCAATCAAGCCGGCTTTTACAGAAAGACTAGACCATTGTTGCATTATCGCTAATGTACCTCCGATCTATCGATGGGAGAAAAATCCTTCTCCACAAAGGAGAGATCGTAAAGACACCGTTGTTGAACTTATCGGGAAGCTTCACTTACCCGCGGAGCCACCGCATATTTTCGAAATACGAGGGGCTGGTTGAGTTAATATTTACAGTGCGGGAGGGTCGCGAAAAGACAGAGAAAGAGAGAATGAAAGAGGGGTTTTACCACGTACGCGGGTACGTATAAAGGCTTAGGTACCTCTACCACTATCCACATGAAAATCTAATCACGACAGCCCCCTACGAGCGCACGCCTCGCGTTACGAACCGCCAATGTAACTAAACTAACGAAATTGAGTTAGGTGCCGCGCATCGCTGTGCCGCAACTCCTCGTCAAACTAAATCCAGTGCGCCCCTCTTCTGTTCGCGCCGCATGTCAGGGCCACCGTCAGAACGAACGAGAGGCCTCTCGACTTAACCGGGTAAAATGATTTCGCGATTCCGAGACAGGGTATTCCCGGCAGCAGCCGGCTTGTCGATTCGTCGGGGATCGTTCGGGAGGAACAATCGATCGACAGCCCCCCACTCGTACGATAATTACGTGATATTCGCTCGCGGAAATACTGGCGCGAATATTTTTCTTGCTGCCTAAGACAAATACGCACGGCCAAGTTATATTTATCAAAACATTGTGATAAGTGGCGAAGATGTGGCACCGGACTCGCGTGGACGAGGATTGACCGCGCGACGAGCTATAATATAATATCCGTGTTACGGAAGTAATTCACCTTTCGTGAACCATCTAAAAAAATAGAGCGTTCTTACCAAATTGTTTCAGGCCAGTATTCATAGTCGAGATCGTGTATTCAGGACTGTCATTCAAGATCATCTTTAGATACTCCGTAGCCACTGAAGTGTTCCGTACAGCATCTTTAGGTAAATTCAAGACGGTCTTGAATATAAGATCCGACTATAAATACCGGCCTTACACGGTCTTCTGATAACAAAAGTGTATCAGCGTGTAACACTTATTAGCGTCACAAATTTCAGGTCACTCTTAGCGATACTATCTTTAAATGATCGAATACATCTTCAAAGATTAAGATAACGAGGGTGTGCGAGGGAACTCGTTCGCATTGGCGAAAGGGTCATAATAATTGGGAGAACAAAGGCGTTCGTCAAGAAACGAAATCCCGTTAGATTATCCCGGAGTCCGGCTCCGTATACGGTAGGAAATATCGGCATTACCTTGTTGACCGAAAACCCGAAACTTAGGGTCAGTGCGGCAAGTCGGGCCATTCCGCCTCATCCCGATGGACTTACGAGATTAAGCGGTTCGCGCGCGAGTTTGATCGAGTCTTCTAAGTCCTTTCATTACGGAGCTGCTGGGGAGCGTAGGATTATTATTACGGTAAGAAGTAGCCCGCGTCTTGTTTGTTAAACGAGGGGAGAAAAGAAGGCGCAAAAGGGGTTGGCGGGGCCGATGGCTCAACACCGCGTGAGTCACGTATCGCTGATCAATCGAGGATACCTCTCGCGATAAGTATATGCCGATACGGTGTACTGTTCGACGTTGCGTTACCAATATCCCTCCAAGCCTTGTTTTAAATCTTTGATTAATCAGAGCCTCTGATTCAGAGGCAGAACGAACAATAGATCGCGAACGCTTCATCGGTTTCCTATCAGCGAACTCGGAAAGCCTTAGGATTTTCTGAAAAAGCGAATTGGAAGATTTCTTTTTAATTGAAAAAGAGAGTCAATCCCTGGCAATAATTTTTCCTTGATTCTACTTTTGAAGTCTTGTTTTTGACTTTACTTGACAAACACGAGAAACCATTTGCACCAACCTGATAATAAAACTGAACAATGCAATAGCTTTAGTGAAAAATTTGAAAATACAGACCGATACTGCCACGAGAAATTAATAATTCGAATAATAATAGAAGACATTTAGTATTTTCAGGCGTAATGTTGTCATTTCTGTATGTTATCAGGTGCTAACCGAGTCAGAGCATCGTCGACTACAACGATAGATCATTTCGAAATTCATCAAGGTACCCACATATTACAGGTAAGTTTGCTCCTCCATCTCGCCAAACTACAGCGCCTCCGATTAAAATTTTTCTTTCATATCACAATAAATGTTGCGTCGCAAGCTCTTAGAATTCTCCGATCAAAATTGAGTCTGTCGAGTAAATTAAAATATATTTAAAGTATAAATTATAATAATAATTCGGAAAAAAAATCAATATTTGCGCCATCTCTCTCTTTCAAGAGAGGGAATCTGTATAAATGTTCGGGAGGCGTTCTGCGTTTATCGCCTGGGAATATTCGATCGGGAGTTACTCAAGTATTTCGTATTTTCTGTCGCCAGTCCCTGGACGGCTTTGCGATGGCTGTCGCGGCTGATGGTAGATTCCTGTACATATCCGAGACCGTTTCGATATATCTCGGCCTCTCACAGGTAAGCGCGGCTCGTCGTTATGGCGGCCACGTCGATGAAGTCGGGAACGACGACGGGCGCGGGTCAAGGGGTGCGTAGGGGAAAAGTGATAACGATAACGAGAAAGCGAAAGCGAGTAAAAAGCAACGTGGGCGCGCCAAACGCGAATGCAACGTGTACCGTCAGCCGGAAGGCCAGAGATAGTAGAAAGATATAAAGACACGGCTGGAGGAGGAGGAGGAAGAGAAGAGGAGGGAAAAGTTGACGGAAGAGAAGGAGGTTGAAACGTTGAAGTGGTAGCGGCGGCGGTGGTGGTGGCGGCGATGGTTGCAGAGGTAGCGAAAGAGGAGGAGAAGGAAAAGTTGATAGCGTTGTAGAAGAATAAGGAGGAGAGGTCAAGGGAGGAAAAGAGGAGAAGGTTGTACGAGTTGGCGGCCATACTGGCTGGCACGACGGCGAGCATGACATAGAACGGGGGGAGCGAGGGGGAGGAAAGGGAGGATGGGATGGGTGGATGGCGGCGGGCGGAGGTGGTCGCATGCGGCTCACGTAGCCTCTGCACGGCGGCGTGTTCGCCATTCCTAATGCCGCGAGCGAGAAGGTGGACGGGGAAAGAGAGTAGAGAAGAGCGTTGCCAGGGGGGTAAAGCGGGGTGGAGGAGGGTACGGGAGGTGACCGGTGTAGCTCTAGCCTCTCGGTTCTCTGCGAAGCTCGTGGGGCAATCAATAGGGTGTTTCGGGGATTCGGAAAACCGACGGGAAAGCCGACGTTGGCACAAACATGGCCGCGGCGTCCGTTCACCTCCCCCAGTTTCCTCGAGCCCGGCGTACCCCCTGCGTACCCCCTGCGTACCTCTTGCGTACCCTTGCGAACCCCTGCGAACCCCTGCGTGCCTCACGCCGAAACCGACTCGTGGCGGCACGGCGCGATTCTATCCCCCCCGGCAGGCACTGTCGGAATGAGATAAATCCCGCCGTGAAAAAGGAGAGACCATTGTTTTTAATTCCAGGTAGAGATGACGGGGTCGAGCGTTTTCGACTACGTTCATCAGCAGGATCACGCCGAGGTCGCAGAGCAGCTCGGTCTGGGTCTTGCGTCGTCGACGAGCACCTCGGCCCCGCACTCGTCCAATTCCGGTCTGGCCTCGCCTAGCAGCGGCGCCTCGGAGGAGCACGGTTCATCCTCCACTGCAAATCCCGACGGTAGATCTCTACGTTACGTCACCCCTCCTCCCATGGTTGCCATTGACCCTTCAACTGCGAAAATTAAACACGATCTGATTTTTTTTTACATAAAAATGAATGTTTAACACGTTGCTTTTACGGTGACCGACACGCTTGACTTTCGTCATTAAAAGAAACTTAAATAATATTGTATGAAAAAATGCAACCAAATTGCAATAATTGCAATAATTGCCAATCTGATAGTAAAAGGGTCAAAGAATGCAATGTATCCGATATTTCGGGGACTTATTTCCTTCATGTACGCATCTATCCTCAGTGTCCTCGGTAATGTCGCTGACGTCGACCGGACTCTACAAGGGGTACGATCGGGCGTTTTGCGTTAGGATGAAATCCACTCTGACGAAGAGGGGGTGTCATTTCAAGTCGTCGGGTTATCGGGTAAGCGATAATCGTGCTTGGTAATCTTAACGAAATCTCGATTTGCTCATCTTCTCGTAGTGTTAGCGCTATTTAACGCGTGACAGCCCTAAGATTGTGCGAGATAATTTTATATTTTCTTTACACGCGCGTACACGCAGGTCGTGCTGTTGCTGTGTCGTTTGAGGCCGCAATTTATATTCAACCACACAAGAAAGTCCGCGCCGCCTTTGATGGGCATGGTCGGGCTGGCTATCGCGCTTCCACCTCCCAGCGTGCACGAAATTCGTCTTGAGACCGATATGTTCGTCACACGGATCAGTTTCGACTTTCGGATAGCGCATTGCGAACCAAAGTGAGTACTGCCCGCGGCAAATCGTGCCTGTGGCATCATTCAAGAAGACTAGCACGAGAGAACATTTAACTCTTTCGAACCACATGGAAATTTTTTATTTTAAGTCAATATATGCGCATGTGTGACTAGAGGTTGCACGAGGCCCCACGATAAGACAATATTCGTGGAAATATTGTATCGATCGTAAAAATGTTTATCTTGCCTTGACTTTGAGTGAACTTTTGTAACAACACTCTTGTTTCGTCTTGTCTTATATCGATTTTTAAAAAACTTCAGCAATCTTGACAATTTCGTCTTGGTATTGTCTTCATAATTAATTTAAAATGCTGTCTTGGTTTTCTCTCGAACTACGAGACAAAATCAAGACAATATCAAGACTAGTCTCTATCTCGTGGAACCCTAGTGTGACGCACTGTAAATCTTATTCCACATATTTCTTGGCGCGGTTTCCTGCCTGAAACGGACGAACAAACAGTCGCTTTATAATAGCAGCGTTGTATTTCGTGCTCTTCAGGGTGTCCGAATTGCTGGACTACACTGCCGACGAATTGACGGGGAAGAATCTCTACACGCTGTGCCACGGCGAGGACGCGAATCGTCTCCGGAAGTCTCACATAGATCGTGAGTATAACTGGTCATGAATTACGTTCGCCACGTTCGATCGTAGTCAAGTCGAGTAGGTACCGTTTGCACGATCGCGCACAGAGTCACGCGCGAGAGGGGTCCTCGCTCGCTCTCCCCAATGTTTTCTGTGTAATGTTCGAAGGAATGTACGCGTGTGAATCCCAAGTAATTCGCCTTAAACAATAGTTGCGCCACGTGAATTTTTGTGAGCCTCGAACACGTCGCCGTGACCGCGATCCGTTGCCGTACCGATGCCATAACAATCGTGGGAGGTGACGTTTTGCCGGGTACTCCCGACACATACGACGATGTGCTTCTCTAATAGCAGTATTTCGTTTCTCGATTAGTCTAAGACGAGAGATGACATAAAAAGAATGGGGTTTACGAAATAAACAAGGGACACTAAATACGGACGAGTGAGAGAAATAATAGCTGGGAGGAAGAAAATGAGTTGCAAAATTTGCAAGAAGTAGCAAGTCGAGAAAGGGATACGCAAAAATGATCGAGAACAAAACTTTTCTCTCGAAATTTGTCTCTATCGAGCGAAAATCAACTGTGACAGATTTTTTTTTTACTAACGAATGTGATAGTGTCGAACCGCTAAGTAAAATCGGCAAATGAGAATTAAATTAGTGCCGCCAAAAAATGAACATCTCTTTTCTGAAAGTGCAAAGTAAGTTTAGCCTCTGTCTCCTTTTTTTCCGCTGCAGTCTGTACTCGAGAAACAATTAACGAAAATAGAGCCGTCACGTTATCCATATACATACGTTCCCAACAAACAAAGCCGATAGATCTGCTACGCAGAATTTCTTGCTCCTATTGTTCTAGGAAAATACTTTGGTGAAAGAGCGCGATGGGTGTCAAAGCTGTCCGGGAAGAGAGAAAAGCACGAAAGTATTAATACGTTGGTCTTTTCGACTGCGCGCGACCGCTTGCAGATTTAGTAAGTACGTATCTGTTTGTATTTGAACGTTTCACGATTACTACGTAGGCATTGGGGCTAACGTTTCTCATTGATTATTCGAACGCATAGATAACTCCGCATATCCGCAATTGTAGCTGTAGATATATAACTCTCGCGCGATTCCCTTGTAAAACGAACGGATATCGCTCTTTCGTTAATTGAGTATTTTCGAGATACGATAACGCACAGATTTCTGAGATGAATCTATCTACACATGTATATGAAGATTTGATACCTCATAAAAGATATACGATGTCGCCACGAAATTCTTTCACGTGTCTTCGTCGGTTCGATCTCTCGAACAGCGATAAGCTATTTTCCCGACACAACTAAGCACATTGTCAAAGATAGTTACCGACAGTTGTCGATAATTTTTAGAACTTTGTTCTAACGAGTTAACAAACGATTCGGCAAATCCTTTTAAGAATGAACGGAATATCTTTTGCGGGACAGGCTGCGACCGGCACTTCTAAGAGCATTATACAGAGATGAAATGGAACATTTACACCCCGAAGACAAGTAAATGATCGGGACCAAGATTCGCATTCGATATGTGGGTATACACATATATGGAATGCTCATCTTCTCCTTCATCGTCGTACAAACGGTAGCTTCGACTAATTATACAGTACTTCCGAAAAAGTGCGAAGTACTTGGAAACACAAGAAAATCTAATTATACTTAATATTTCCGCGGATATATTTCTCACGGATATAAATCGACACCCTCGAAAAATGCTTAGCTGCAATTGTGATTTTAGTGATCAATAAAGGACAAGTGCTGACGCATTACTATCGGCTGATGAACAAGAGCGGTGGATTCACGTGGCTACAGACGTGCGCCACCGTCGTGTGCAATTCGAAAAATGCCGAAGAACAAAATATCATTTGCGTCAATTATGTCATAAGGTGAGTCATCAAATAAGTGAGTAACGAACGACAGACTGACTTTCTCGTCAAACCTTATTGTGTTTAATCGTCTTTTTTATAGCGGTCGAGAATACGAAAATTTAATTATGGACTGCTGTCAGTTAGAGGACGGCGTTACCGGCGTCAAGAGGGAAGATACAGCCGGGAATGATCCGGAGAACGGATCGCCGGACGCTGACAGAGGAGGTACAAAACGTTCTTTGGTTTAGCGAAAAGTACAAATTTTCCGGCCCGTCGATCCCGGCAAGTTCTCATCTTCCTCCATCTTGAGGCAATATTCGTTGCGACTTTTGATTTCAGAGGGTCGTAGTCGAGGCGGCCCTACGAATCAGCATCAAGAGCAATCGCATCGGTCGCCACCCGAGGAACGGGAGGAGAGCCATGCGTCGGAAAGCGAGAAACGAGGTAGCCGGCATCACGACAATATAGCCCAGTTGCAACAGGAGTCGCAAACAGCGGTCGGGAATCTCGGCACGCTCGTAGTGAGATTGCGAGGGCATAAACGGAAAATTCAAGATGACGACAGCAGCTCCAACGAAGAGGAGGACGAGGAGGAGGCTACGGCGAAGGAATCGAATGGCGAGAGAACCCACGCGCTTAGTCCTAGCGCGACATCCACGCACTCAATCTCGGCCACCGAACAGGCGCTCTGTTCAGCGAGTCCAAAGTCGCGTCGCGCCGAGGGCAGCAGGATGGATAGCGCCGAGAGCACGGGAACTTCGGTGAAAGACTTGGAGCAGGCTATGTCGAAACACCTGCCGGGGAGCTCGCTAAAGTCAAACTCACCGGCAGCGCTTCACCAGCCAACAGATTTCAGCACAGACGCGTTATTAAAGCAGCAGCAGCAGCGAAGTACAATACAATGGATCGGCGCGCATCATCATCTAGGCCATCTAAGTCCGCAGCAGTCTGCTGCCGCCCCTTTACCCGCTTCCGCGCTTCTTAGACAACTTTACGCTGCCAATCGGGAGAGCGTGATACGCGCTAATGTGCACGGGATTACGTCAAGCGGCGGTACGCGCGCTCCCACATCGGCCGGTATCTACTACCCGGGCGAAACCGCCCCTAATGGACCTCTGCCCACGCCACCGGGCTCGGAGGGTTCTAGTACGTACGGTGAGCACCAATTTGTGCTCGCTGCTCACAATCAAAAAGCATCAAATGGCACCAGCTGCGCCGACGCTTTCACCAGTCTAGTTTCATCGTACACGTCCGCTACTGCGGCCGGCTACTCGGTAGACTATCATTCAGCAATGACGCCGCCATCGTCGGTCTCGCCGCGGGACAAGCAGCAACAGCAGCAGCAGCAGCAACAACAACAGCAGCAACAGCAGCAGCAGCAGCAATTGCATCCCGTGATAAGCAGCTACGAAGGCTCGTCGGCGTACGCGGAGCCCGTTCTTCGTCACCAATACGAACCGGCCCAGCCGTTACCCTTGAAACCCCAGGTGTACTCGGCCACTGTCCATCCGAGTGCCTTAGACGCCGCAGCGGCATACGCCTCGGCAGGTCTGACGGAACAATCGCAGTTCTACCATCATCCGGCCAGTAGCGCCGGCTTCCACATCTACCACCCGAGCAACAAGTCAACGGCGAACGGCTGGTACACCTCGGCCTCCTAGTGGCCCCACCCATAGGAGTCCCACCGCCCGTGTACGCGGAACACGTGTACTTAAGCGACTGTAATTAAACCCAAAGCCCTCTTTCTCGTGCATATCAGTGATACGCTATCTTGTCGCTATCTTTAGCGATTTATCGTTGGCGAGCGATCTTCGTTGTCGTTAGGACCGGCGGGGAGGCTTCACCTCGCTGCTCCTTCCTGTCGAATCGTCGAGACTCGGCGCTGTAACAATCGCTCTCTTCTCCATTATGTAGAATGATTTATTGTAATATAATGAATAAATTATTATATATATGTTGACTTTCCGGAAGTATCTGCGTAAGTATGGAGCCAACTGAAAAACTCATGCGTGTTCACCGTGCGTGTTCCAAGTGATTTAACGCGACGCTCAAAGAGATCGTAATATATCTAAGGATTCGCAATTTATTATATATGTGTGATATACAGGACGATTTTTAATAATATAATCCGTACTTCAAATAATGAGCACAGAAAAATGATGTTGTATAGATATGAATTATTCCAGTCTTCTTATTTTTATAATAAATTAACAATATAAATATATTTCACCACTTTAAATATTGTCTTGAATTTATTATAATTTGGAGAAGTTTAAACAAGATATGTTCATGTATCATTTGTTCTCGTTTCGAGCTTTATACTTACTTTGAAGTATTCACATGTAATTAAGAATTATCCTGTATATGTATGTATCATAATTATATTGTTTCATTTTTAATTGCGTTTTAAGACATCTGTATTTATGTAAATTTATTTCTCCAAGACGCTTGGATACGTGATTAGGCGATAGTTGGAATATGCTTTAAAAATCTTCGTAAAATCATCAGAATTATTAAGAGAAATTCAAACTTGAATTGGAGTCGGATCACATTATCTCTTGTTAAAATATTTTCTTATAATTGTGACGATTTTTCGGTCAAAAGATACACGTTCCAACTCCCACCAAATCCCTCATCGAGCCATTTTGAAAGAGAGAATTTACAGAGGAACAGGTATCTTAAAATAAACGAGGAGACAACTTCTGAGAAATTGTCTTCGCATTGTGTTAAATATTACTAATCAAATATTACCGTGTAAGCGGTAATTTACTCCAGTATGGTACTTGGAATATTTCGTTGTGCGATGATGATTTTCATAAAGCGGATGATACAATCCTGTCTCTCTCTCATACGCTTCAACGTTTATTTCATTTAATAAGAGAAAAAGTTGATAAAATTTATTTTGATGTCATACGAAGGGTGTTTGAAAAATAGGACGACATACTTAAGAGAAATCGCTATCTCTATTAATTTGCGCTGACGTCTCCGTTTTAGTCAATTAATTGAATTTGTTATTCGGAATGCGCCATGTACAATCGGTCTGTTCCAAAGAGTTTGTTGTTGCAAGCTTCTTGTTTTATATTTCAATTTGCGATTGAGGAAGTAGTGAGACTTCTCAGTAGAAAGTAAAGGATAATTGATGATCTATATTCGATTGTTATCCCATATTTCGCGTCCACGTTCAACAATCGTAACTGTCGAAAAATGATTAAAAAAATAAAAGAGTTACGAGACTGGCGAAAGAACGAAATGCAACATGCAGTCGCATGGAAACGGAAAGCAATTCGGAGGAAAAAAAACACGAGTGATATTAAAAAGACACTTTTATTAAATACGCACTGAGATTCTTTACTTATTAAGGACAAGAGACATTTGTATGTATATTTATAGACTGCTCTAGCGATTTTACCTTTTAAATGTAGGATAGTTGAAAATGTAGATATCGAGAGGGGACACGTATCGCGCACGCGAGAAAAAGTCAACATTGCTCTGGAGGTAGCGAATTCTTTTACGAAAGTTATTGTATTTTAATGTTTAAACATTTTGACCAGTTGTTTTTGACAAGTACACGTGTAAATACAGCTTACGTGCCTAAAAGTTCACTCGCTCAGCATTCATCGCTTTCTTTCGTGCTCAATTTAGATTTTGAAATACGTCTGCAACGTTTACAAGTTTCTCCCACGTAATAACATTGATTTGCAGAAATTTGTAATTTCGCATGCTTGGAAGCAACATCACCCGACGAAGCAAGTCTGCCAGGTGAAATCGTAAGTAAACATTTCGTAAATAATATTAGTAAGTAACTGAATATTTTTGTGGTATGGAGAAGACATCAATAATTTAGGATAGAACCTAAATTATTCATGTTTATTAAAGAACTTCATTCATAATTTTCTCAATTGAAAAGCACACCACACATTACAAAAAGTTTCTAGACGAAAAACACAAGAATAGGACACGTAATTTATTTTTATTCAATTTCGTTCTCCATATAAAAAAAGTTTATTCAAATCATTATATCGTTTCCTTTTTCAGAACTTAGTATTATTATTCGCATTAACGCTTTCTTCGTACATAAACGTGGAAAATGCATGTTCTCTGTTCAACGCGATCGTTGTATTACATATCGATTTAGTAGCAAGAAATAACGAATATATTATTCGTATAAAAATGACTTATGTACATTTTCATTTTGTATGATCAGTATGCATTTACATGATCAGTATACAATTATTATTATCGTTATCGTTTCTGCTGTTATTGTTGTCATTATAATTATTCTTAATACTACATTAGTATTAAATTACTACAGTGAGTTTGGAGATAATGTTAAAAAAAATCTGTAAAATAATCACATAAACAAGTGAAAATAAAATAAATCTAAAAAGTATAATAAAAAAAAAGTATTAAACGCACTTTGGACGGTAGACATTTCGATTAATACTGTAAACTATAAAAAAAGAGAACGAAATATATAAGTTTATCTGTAGTAAAGACAACTTTGTACATGGAAAATCTAGTTATATTACATAAAATGCTCTTTTATGCTCCATCGTAAAATATATTTAAGTTAAAACGTATAACAACACACATTAGAAAATGATGATTGCATAATTTAACCAGTTTTTTCATTCGCACAAAGAACGTATGCGAAATGCAAAAATAAGAATCATTCATCATTGTAATTGCACTTCAAGGAATTTGTGATATACTGACAGTTATATTATGCAGACTTGCAAGAAATATATTAAGAAATAATATGGAATGACAATCTCGTGAACGTTATACATATATAGCGAAATAAGATCCGAAAAAGTTAACTAAAACTCAGACTTACAATTAGTTTTACAAAATGTAATCGCGACTTCTGAATATCTTTTAAATTTCAATTTATAGCATGGTCCACATAAAGTATTACAGACTGTATGATCGAAAACTATTAGAAATAACGACAAAATATTTTCTAGTGTTTCAAAGTTCATTAGGCCTCTTTGTGGTCTGTTGTCAATTCTTCAGAGCGATATCACTACTCGTACAAAAATAATCTCTGAATCGAATTAACAACTGGGCTTATTAATTAAAAATTTGAGTATTTTACAAGTCCGTTGTAAAATCTTGTAACGGAATTCAAGTTTGTTTCTGAATTTTAACCGCCCTTTTTGGATTCTATTTCTGTGATGTCGTGTGCCACTGACACAAAATTATAACACACATAAAAAGCCAATAGTTGAGTGGAGCAAAAGAGACTTTATCCTTATCAAAGATGTATATATATTTTAGATTAAGTTAATGTGTACTCATTACTTCTCTCTAACGCATAAATATCTAATATGATGCATTTCAGTTTTTAGATAAACCACTCTTTCTTTTTCTGGACTTGATGGCCAGTGGCAGAATTTACAACCGCTGAGTCCGGATCGAGGGCAATTTCAGCACCCTTGTCTTCTTGCGTCAAGTATTCGCCTTTATGCCTAGACATATATCTGCCTATAAGAATAGCCATGATCACAAGTGCGATCAAAATAACCGCCAGGACGCTTCCCAGAACAGCTGTGTCAGTCTCGTTGTACGCCGCTCTCACTTTTTCCTCATCTACATCAGGCGGTGGTCGCGTCTCCATGATATCTGGCGGATGCGTGATCGGCTCGACCCCGCAGAAGTCTTCGGTCAAAGGAGTACCGAGTGAACGCACATTACCAGGTCCGTTCTCTTGGAAGAGCAACTTTAGCGGATATATGTCGTCAAATTCAACTCTCGATATGCAGCCCGTGAACCCTTCCGTCATAGATTCGTTTTTACCGATGTACATGTACTGGATATTGTTGAATTGCGCATCTGCGGAATTTTTTATGTTAAAATTGAACTCCTTCGGTTCATAATTATCAACCTGCATTATGAGAGTGGCGCCTGAATTCTTTCTGCCGATCCTGACATCGTGATATTGTCCCAAACCGAAATGCTTGAGCGGGAATATGACCTCTTGCCGTTCGAAACCGAAGTCGAATACCACGCGTAAATGTCCGCTATTTGAAACCATTATAGTCATGTATTCTCCAGAAATGTTGGAGAACAGGCCTAATAGAAATCCTCTCGGGTTCGTTGTCGTAAAGCCAATGCGTATTTTTTCAGCGATGGTGGAACGCCAGCTGCCCATGAAGTCGTACTTCACCATCGAACTAGGTCGCATGTTCACGCCAATCTCTGAAAATAATAATTTAAATAATAATAACCAAGATTAATAGAGAGAGAGCAGCCGGTCTCTGAAATGCACATTTGCTCGAAATATCTCTTCTACTTACCGTCCGCGCAAATTGGTCCCTTAAATGCGGTCCATCTGCAGTCGCACCAGTATCCATCGTATTTTTCGTGGCACGTGCCATTGTTGAGGCAAGGATTACTCTCACACCTGCCAGTACAACCTTCCGTAACGCCGTACAATCCGCGCTGAGCGTGACTTCTCAGGTCTTGTAATTGACCGTTGAGCAGAAGCGCTCGTATGCAACCGACGAATCCGTCCCTGTAATCGGTCGTAGCACCCACTACGAATCTCGAGGTAAGATGCAACGCTCGCACGGGACCTGGAGATTCTCGCGCTTCATTCTTCAGCGCCCCGTCGAGGACAATCCGAGCCTCCTTGCGATTTCTCTCCACCGACACGGAATGCCACCGATCGTCAGCAAAGTTGTTAGATGTTTGTACGCTAACAGTAACCCTCCCTTCACCGGCCACATACTGGAAGTTTATCTGATTTCCATCGGTTATGGAAATCTTGATGTAATCGGTGGGTCCTTTGCTATGAATTATCACGGCGTTCGGCATAGTGGTCTTAAACTCGAAATAAATGTCGCCGCTGTGCCCAATATCGAAGGTCGGCAAATTGATGGTAGCGTCCACTACACGGAATGTGACTACATTCTTGAACAAGTCTGTAATCAGATGACCACGTGATACATTCATGCCGATGAGAATTGATTATATTAATAGTTATAAATATCGATTATCTATTCACTGTATGTACATTGAAACGAGACAAAATTGAACTTACTTTCGCCCTCACAAATGAGCGGACCCAACGTATAACGACCTTCTTTTTCGTCGAGCGGCGTACCGGTGTCGCCGAAACGTAACTGTCTAACGGGAAGATACTCCTTTTCTGTAATATCCCCACCGTCCTGTTGCCATGACTCCAGACTAGCGTCGCAATTGCACCACTTGGCAGGATCCACGCAATTTCCAAGTATACCGCATTCGCACTTTCGCGACCCGGGCAATGCGCCACCCCAATAATCCATCTTTTGATTATTCCGACTCACCCACCACGAGTTTGGTCTAAAGTAATCGCCTGGAGGAACTGGAAATGATCGCAAAGGTTGATAAAATAAAAAGTATCTCAGGGTACCAAGATGCAAAATATTTAAGATAATTACCTGGGGAATTAAATAATCTGGAATGTTTGCATTCGTAATTTATCCTTTGTCTGCAGCTTATAGATCGATTTAATAAAGCATCTATTTGATCAAAGTCAGCGTCGTAATTAACTTCCTGGATAAAGCTGCCAGGTTCTTCAAATCCATCGACGGGAGTCGATTGCTCGTTACCATGATGTAAAGTCGTCATTACGCGGCCGTCGGTGTAGAACTGGCAAGTGACAGGGAAAGGCTTCAAGGGCCCGCTGCCGTCCACGTCGATTTTAATTTCCGCTTGCAGATTTGACGGATCCTCCATATTCTTATATGCTTCGCACGATAGGGGATTTAATGCTGCATAAAATTGTAACATCGTTAATTTCGGCAAAGATATTTTATATTTTACTAACATTTTATATATTACTCACAGGTGTGGCAAACGGCGCCGGAGTATCCGGTGTTGGCACAATCACAGAAGAACTCGTCAGAATTTTGACGACAAACCCCCGAGTGCTTACAAGGATTCGGATTACAGCGATCCACCATCTGACAAGAGTCGAAGACAACCTCGTTCTTACAGCAGTACTCATTTTCCTTCCAGTCGGTCGGCAATTTATAATTTCCATCGATACTTATCATTCTCATACAGCCAACAAAGCCGTAACTGCTCTCTTTTCCGATTACACCGATTACACCGCCGCTTACACCGCCGACAAAATAGTACGCTCCGGTAAACATATCCAGGAGACGCTCCGTTCTCATCGGGCGCCCATCGACATTTAAGATAAGTAAATTTTTGGCAATCGTTAAAATTACTTGATGCCATTTTCCATCATTGAACGTCTCGTAAAAATTGTCCAAAGTTGCGAACGGATACTCCATCGTTTGTATGTCGACTTTCAATTTACCTTTTTCCAGATATAGCTATACGTTAAAGATAAGCAAATTTAATTGCGCTATATTTACTAGCAGCATTAAATGCTGTGCTCGAGGAATTGAAATGAAAATGTGCACCAACCTTAACGTAGCCCCGACTCGTGAACTTATGGAAAAGAATTATTCCTGTCTCTTCGTACGTTCGAAACGCGAGAGAGACGTTCATGGATGGTACACCCTCGTAACCTTTCAGCTGAGCATAAGATCCGGGGGTTAAAAACGTGACGGGTATTATCGGAGGTTCCGGACAGGTGTAGAATGTGTTGATCTTGTTGTATCGCAAATTCTCATCTGTGATTTCTGTCTCCTTCAGCTCGCGAATTATACTCGTTGCATTTAAATAAAAATTCTCTATACAACCGGTGAAATTTTGGGTCACCACTAAGCCATCCTGTTTGTTGGGCACACCGCCGATGTAGAGCTAGGAGAAGCATTAATTCCGAATGTTAATCCGAATGCGTTGACATAACTGATCGAGCGCCAAAGCGCTTTTGCGTTCATTAAAAAGAAAGTCACCTCTCGATTTAAATCCAGTCGATGAAACTCTCCCTCTATTCTGCCTTTAATTAATACTCTGTCGACGGAGAACGAAATATTTTTCCGATTGCGTGAAATTAAAACATCGTGCCACATATTGTCGTCCAGAAGACTGCCGACAGATAAACTTGTCATAATGCGGGATCCGAGATCGATATTAAGCAACATCCTATTATCGCGCAATTGCAAGGCTATATAATCACCCTGCGTACCGCGGGAATACATTAATACGCCATCGGCATTGTTCGTCTTAAAACGGAAACGTAGAAAATGTCTGTCGGTCTCGATAGGCTCTCTGAGCAAATCTAGCCGTATGAGCGAGGACCCGTTAAAGGAAACAACGTCGGACACTGAAATGTAAAACAATAGATTTGTCACTTCGTAAACTGATATACCGTTTCGCACAAGGCAGACGCATATAATTATTATCTCGTACCGTATTCGCATCCATAAAGCTCGATCCTCAGCGATATCCTGTCTCGCCATCGTGTTGGATTTATTCTAATCCATTGTGCTATTATCGGTACCTCAAACTTATTAAGCTTTATTCTATCTCCGTCTACGTTACCTTTAAACATCTGTAGAAAGAAAGGGGAATTGAGAACGCTTAGGGTGCTGCTGTTTTAAATCGATATTCCCTGTTTGCTACCTCAGTGTCAATCAATAATAATTAACGCCGCGACAATCGTGCAGAATTTAAACAAATTGCGTGCATGCTGTAAGTCAAAAGTAAACACTCGTGAGAAGAGTAGCTTATCAGAAATAGATAACTGTTCGCCAAACAGTTAATTTAGATTTATTGAAAATTGTATATACATTGAAAGGATCGTAGAAGTTAATTTAATTGCACGATTTATATTGCGCGCACTCAGGCAAAGGTCACTCGCTTGTATCAGTTTTTAATAAATGCAACGAATGTTACCCAATCACCGTTAATTGCATAAGTATGTACGTTAGTGTAGGCAACTGTTAGTAACAGACACGCCAATATTAAGTGCGAACATATGACTATGAGAGCTATAGATATGGTGTCGTTATACTAGACGAGATCCCAAAGGAGAAAATATTCTTTCTAATCGATTATAAATTTCTCATCTGTAATTTTTATACGCGTGTGTATAAATTTCATAAATAGATTTTTGGAAATAGTCTGTATGAAATATCGAATAGCCGAGCATTTGAATCACTTATCAGTTCTATCATCGAATCTGCTATATTTAAAATTTTACCGTTCTCTTGTTGAGCAAAGATGTTTGACAAAATCAAAAGATACGTTTAGACGATACAAGTGCAAAGGCGGAGATAAAATCTCATTTGTAGTCGAAATATACGAGTCTCTAAGCTCTAAGCTCCTTATAAGTTCCTTCGGATCATATAATGACACCATAATAATTAATAAAAAATTGTCAAACCCCAATAGCGACTATTAGAACAGAAGATTCCAAATAGTATCTTTCAATATATGAGAGGGTTTTTACAGAATTTCATTTCGTTAATGGAATTTCTACAAAAGAACAACGATTAAGAAACTTCATATCAGCTTATTATCAGTGTACATAAAAGAACAAAAAGAATATCGGAATAGATCTTTTTAGAAAATTTTACAAACATCCAAACAAAATATTTTACATTATTACAAAATATACATTTTATATATTTGTGTGTGTGTGTGTGTGTGTGTGTGCGCGTGTGTGTGTGTGTATATTTGTGTGTTGTGTAAAAGAATCACCCTGTATATACGTGAGAGTAGAAAAATTGTAAACTCTATCCGTGAAATTTAATACCTCATCTATACCATCCTGGCTTTCATAACTGGCCCAAGCCTGGCCATCTTCAGAATATTGGATAATATATTCTGTCACGTATTCATTAGTATGTGCCCGCCCTCGCGTAGCAATGCTGCGTATCTCATATCTGGCCCCCAGCTCCATAGTAAGATGTTGATTGTAACTGCTTTGTTCTGGTGACCATGCGGAATCTCCTGTAAAGCCCAGCCCCATGTCCATGTGTAAGAGGCGAAAAGTAGAAGCGAAGCATGCAAATGGACATAGGAAATAATGAAAGGAGTGAATTTAATTTATTTCGTGATAACTCTCGCTAGTCAATCTTCAGCTCTAAGTTTCAGCTATCGTATGACTTTTTATTTTAATATGTTATCCTGCATCCCAATGCAATGTACGTTTATATGTTAGAAAAAATATTTAGCAAAATAAGAATTGACATAATGAGAAAAAAATATGATCGGTGCAAAGCATTGTCCATGTGGAAGTCTTTGTAAAGCACATTAAGATACTTACCATAACAAACCTGATTATATTATTCGTAATGTAAAATGCTCTATTTATTATTCTATACATATTTACATAGATTATCGCGCTACTTTCTACGAGCATGCATAAGCAGCAAGTCTCAGCACATCATTAAATTGTTATTATTAAAAGCAAACGTGTTAAAAACGAGATAAGATAGTGAAATGGCACCGAGAGAGAAAGAGCTTACCTTCGCATAGCCATCTTCTTCCTTAAAATCCACATAATCGAGTCCGTTGGTACCATAGCTAATACGATATTCCATAACATATTCGTTCTGCAACGATCGTCCCTGAGTCGCCACAGCTGTGATGTTCATCACTTGGCCCAAGTCGATTATTAAATACTGACCGAAATCAGAGCTGCTAGCCGTCCATGCGTTTCCGCCTACACCACAACATTTATGCATGCATGCAACTCCAAGTAAACGTAGGAAAGTGCTTACGAATAATGGGACAGAACATAGCCAAATAATCAAAATTAATCCTGACAATACTTTGCTTTTATACTCAGAGTCTAATTCGTGTGTGGTTGTACCAAACTTGTACGCTGCAAACTCAAACCTTTTAGACTGCAATAGGATGCAAAAGGCATTACATTATAATTCTTGTGAAAGAGATGAAGTCATTCTTCAAAGTAGCATTCGGTATCACGAACATCACGTACGGAGACGCTGAATTTAACGATTCTCTCTTTACATTTCAATGATGGAAAATTTTGATCGTGTTTCTTAAGGCTTTTTACGTTTACTCTATACAAAGATTGGAAAACAAAGTTCTTTTTTGTAACTTGACCGCGTTGTAATATCTTGCATATGGGAAATTATTCACAGTCCGTAAGGTAATTAAAGAAATTATCGAAGTATTACTTAGTGCTTTATTATTTTGTAATTAAATTAATATACAATATATAATATCCCATATTTTACTGCTGACATTATTAAGAGACTCTTTGACGTATAGAAATATCATATGAATCTTATAAAATAAAACTACGGCTGTTCGTATTTTGCAAAATATTGGATTGTGTACTGCGGATCTATCGGAAAAAGTGGAACTGCACCCGCCATAAGTTTGTCATAATTCATTATCTCAAACAGGGTATTAGGCAATCGTAATGAATTATCGTTTCCTTGCAATGCTACGGCAACGCAATGTCGTGAGTCGAGTAAGGTCTCTTCGAATAGCCAATCTTGCTTAACTCCGTTGACATGCAAAACTGTGTCGGTTGTGATCGAGCCTTCGCTTAATTTCGAATTTGTCCGAAAATCTATACTCCCTAGATCAACGGAAACTCCCACGCCAAGCGCTTTAACGTAGCTCTCTTTTAATGCCCAATGTCTATAAAACATGAATATTTGCTCCGCTTCCGGTTTGCCCGAGCCTCTGATCTCCTCCCACTCAGCCGCGGAGAAATGTTTGTTCATCAGACGAAAGAAATTGGGGATGTTTTTGCCCTCGTTGTAATCTAATGTCATAACGTCTACACCTAGTTTCACGTTCCTAATCTCGCCCGCTAGTACCGTGTAAGAACCGTGATGAGAAACGTTAAAGCTCACGACGGTAGAGCCGTCCTTTAACACAGGCCTGTTGTGCTCGTCTCTGACGAAAATAATTTTATCATACGGAAGACCGGCATACTCGTTGACGAACTTTCTCAATAATAATCTGCCCACGAGGGAAGCTCGGACGTCCTTACGAAATCTAAATCTATTTAGCCTCTCTTTCTCGTCGCTTTGTATACAAGAGGTCGCGTGCTCAAATTCCCGCTCGCTCGGGTTCCACTCTTTCCAGTTAAATGCCCAACGAATGGCTGACGACATTCTAACGATATTGACGCTAAGCATAATCGTTCAAACCGCTCGACTATAGTTCGTACATCCCGTGCACTCTTTGGCTGGTCTGGTATCACAGTCGTATATTCTTAAATTATATGTCTCTGATTATAAAAGCAATGCTTTTCGAAATATCTCGTTTGAGATACTCTCCAGGCTACTTGCTAGGATCCACCTGAAGCAAATATAAATTTATTACACTAGGTTCGTTTTGCTTTTAATCCAAGTGATTGTTATTACATGTATTTCCACTTAAAGTGCTACACGGCAAAGACGTGGATAAACGCGACGAGTGTAAAGTGATTGAACGATGAGTCATGTGGTGAGCGCGTATAGGCTCACCTAATTCTCATAATTGAGCAGAGCGGCCGGCGGTGTGCGCTGGCACTAAATGAATTTCTCGACTCTTACCGGAGTTCTTTTCATTGGGAAATATCGCATAGTATTAGCAGAATCATTTGTAACTATTATTAATGCAAACGAAAGCAAATGTAGTGCACATTATAGATAACGACAGACTTGATAGGAATAGAGGGCAAGCATCAGTCTCCTACTGCTAGTATCGTATAACTATCTATTATAAAGTGTACAGTTGTACAATAATTCACGTCTAAGTGAAATGAGACCTGGACGGTAGGATTGAGTAGCCAAACGTGGAATTCTCACCATTTATCCTAGCGTTGTTCGGTCCCCTCTCCGGTAAGGAAGTTGTCGCTGTTAGGTGAGCTCTGTCCAAAAGAGGAAAGATGCACTCGTCGTCATCTAAGACACAATAGAATCGTATTCTCATTAAAATCTTTGCTGTACCTTTTTTTTTCTTTTTTAAAGAAACGCGAAAATCACAAGATATCCTACTGGCAAAGTATACGATGTATGGAAGCAAAACTCGTTCGGAAAAGCGTGCAAAACAATTTTATCTCGATCCAGCTGTTAAATTTTAACAATTAAAACCACATAAAGGACATCAAGTACAGAGATAGATTTTGCAGTAAAATTTACATTTTCTACCTCGCCAAAGATAAACATGAGAATCCTATCTCATAACAGAGGACTTTCCTCTATAACATGCAAAAGAATAAGTTGACGATTTCAGTAGTGAAGTTCAGTAAGCAAACTGTACAGTTTGCCAGGGGATTCGAGTAAAATACTGCAGCAGATTGGCGTCAAGTGTATCCACATTAAGCTTGCGCTTTTCCAATAGAGCCTACAGACACCGATCTAGCAAATTGCCATTAAAATCGAGCGGACTCGTGTAGCTTCAACAGAGCGGACCGTTTCGAGTGTAACAACATTCAGATTCCGCTTGGTTTCCGCGGTCAATCTGCCATCACGTTTTACCAGGCACGTTCTGTTGTATTTCTAGAGGCGGTCCACCGACAAAATTCGTAGCGGGCACTCGGTGAAATCTAGATTCGACGGATGTAACTATTCTGTGACGGAGTATACATCGCAGAGAGAAGTTGGACAGCAAAATAACGAAACGACGAGACCGCCGGACACGAAATGCGTGCGGGGCCCGTCGTGAACGATCCGCAATTCGCATAAGATTTTAAATGAAGATCCAACGGACATCTCTATCCGACTTTTCACGCCGTACACTTTCGTGTACACCGGGGATGCGTCCGGGCAGGTCACTATCGGCGCTATTTAGCGCTGAAAGGGTCATTCTATCCTTGTTGCTCATTACGTGTCGAAGAAAGATAGGTGACATTTTCAGCGTCAATAGCGAGCTCCGCAAATGTACCCTAGGAATCGCTGATGTCTTTCCATATGAATTTAGGCGCAAGTATAACACATGTACATTTTCCATGTACAGTGGTGAGAAAGGTCGTCCGCTTTCCTCTCCTCTCCTCCTTATATAAAAAAAGGCGTGTTAAGTCGATAGTCGGAAGTCTCAAAATTCTGTTGTCGCTTTTCCGAGATGCTGACCGGTTGTCTCGCGTGTGCGATACGATACATGCTTCAGTCGTGTTACTTGCAGCCGTCAAACCATGCGAATTTGTAGACAGAGCACATGGAGCGCTTGTGTTGTCCAGTTGTCTAATCCCTATATAAAAAAAGACGCGTTAAGTCGAAAGTCTCGAAGTATTGTCGTTTCTCCGAGATGCCGATTGGCTGACTCGCTTGCGCGACATGACTTGCTTCGGTCGCGTTACTTGCAGCTGTCAAACCATGCGAATTTTTAGCGAGATCAAATGACGCGCGCGCGCGCTTGTGTTGTCTAGTCAGGATAAATTTTGGAAATACCGTCTAGCGTGCGAAAGATTGTAGCTTTGCCTCGCAAATATGTGCAGTAGCGCATTATTAGACCAAAGGAATGATATGCACGAATATTTACGCAACGATGCACACAAATCTTGTGAAAACTTTCTGCAAAACGTCGGACAAGCTTTCCGATCACGACCGTATGTATATGCAAAATGTATAAATGTGCAGACATGTGCCCAGATTCATATCGGAAGGCGTCAGTGATTCCTCGTGTACGTGTGCGCTCAGCATCACGCCTTATGCGTGTGCGTATGTACGGCGACTCGAACGTTATCACACGGGCACACTGATCTGCAAATAGAAGACATACGCACTTCTCAGCTGCGAGCGAGACGAATAACAGACAAGAGCCCGAGGCGGGCTGGACGATCCGGCGCGCGTACGATGCACGCGGGCCGCGTCTCGCGTCTCGCGACGCGAGGACGCGGGTGCCCGCCGCGCGCCATGTTATCCCGAGATGGGCTGGGTCGTGCCAGGAAGTTACGACTCGTGCCACCATAACAGCACGACGCAGTCAGGTTGTACTTACAGGCGTACGCGAGCGAGCCCGCCGCTACGGCGAATGCGTACACGAGACACCCAAGAGCGGTCATCGTATCATCGCCCTCGCGCTTGGAAAACGTTTCTATTCCACGGCGAGAGATTCCCGGGCCCCGTACGGCAGACGCGCGGCCAAGAGAGACGAGACGACGTGCCACTCGCGATCTTCTCCGCGCGCGCGAGTCGCGGCTCCAGTTGGACTTCTGGTTTCTCGAGAGCGCGCACTCCGACAGCACGGTGGATTTGGGTGGAGCGGTGTCGCACCAATGAACACCGATGACGCGGATCGGCAACGAATGACGAATGACGTGACGCGGGGATGAATGCCGCGCTGTGCCGCGCCTCGTGCCAGTCGTGCTGCGACCGTTTCCGATGTATCGAATTAGTCATTCGACGCGCCGCAGAGACGCGTCGGACGTCGCGCCACATTCGCGTCTCTTTTACCTCTTGCGGATACAACTAACGGTAAGTTACCGTCGGTGACACGTAAATCATGTGGACTTATATCAACATTCGGCAAGAATGTTGATAAGTCAACATTTCCAAGACTTTTCAAAAATTCCGAGAATTTCGAACTTCAAATCGCGAAAATTGAAAGTCTAAAAACTGGCAAAGTATCAGAGGAAAACATGATCGGCAAAGAGGTGGCACTATCTAAAT